GGTCCCTGTGGATCATCCAACGCGGGTCCTCCCATGGCTGATGGAGTTGGAGCAGCGGCCGAAGCTCTTCCCGCAGTCGGGGCACTCGGGGCTTCTCTTACCGGTGGGTCCGTTGGTGGGAGGTCAAGGCAGAGCTGTCCCTGAAGCTCTTCCCACACTCCCCACACTTGTGAGGCCTCTCCCTGATGTGGATGCGAAGGTGGGTGTAGAGGGTGGAGCTGTCCCACATTCCCTACACGTGTAGGGCTGTTCCCCAGTGGGGATGTGCTGGTGGCTGAGCAGCTTGGTGCTTGTGCTGAAGCTCTTCCCACATTCCAAGCACTTGTAGGGCCATTCCCTGGTGTGGATGCAACGGTGTTTGCAAAGGCTGGAGCTGTCCCTGAAGCTCTTCCCACACTCTGCACACGTGTAGGGCCTTTCCCACTGTGGATCATCTGGTGTCGGAGCAGGTTGGAGCTCTGATTGAAGCTCTTCCCACACTCCCCACACGTGTAGGGCCTTTCCCCACTGTGGATGCGACGGTGCGTGCGGAGGGTGGAGCTCTGCCTAAAGCTTTTCCCACACTCCTCACACATGTAGGGCCTTTCACCCGTGTGGATCATGTGGTGGCTGAGGAGGTTGGAGCTCCGTTTGAAGCTCTTCCCACACTCCCCACACGTGTAGGGCCGTTCCCTAGTGTGGATGCGACGGTGGGTGCGGAGGGTGGAGCGGTCACTGAAGCTCTTCCCACATTCCAAGCACCTGAAGGGTTTCTCCCTGCTGGGAGGCTGCTCAGGGACCACCAGCTCGCAGCTCCGTCTCAAGCTCCGGCCGCCTTCTTGGTACACGCTGGCTCTTTCCTCCTCACAGCCCCCTGGGCTGGCTTTGGAGCCCCTCCTGCGGGGGCATCTCCGGCCCTTTTCCTCCCCGCTGCCTTCCTGCGCCGGGGGGCCCTTCAAAACGGCCTCTCCCACCAGGCTCTGCCGGGGGGATTTGTCCTCCGCGCTCTCCGGCCTCACCTCGGGGCCTGGGGCAGGAACCAACAAGGACACGCAGGGGATTTGCCTCCGGCCCACAGGGAAGCCCAAGGACATCCCCCCAACTCCGGCCCCGGCAGGACGGCCACAAAAGACAAAAGACCCACCCAAAGGGGCACTGACTTCCTCCTCACCTGCCTGGGGGGCCCAAGGCATCTTCCTCTTCCTCGCAGCCTCCTCCTCCATCCGCCCAAGCTTTGGGAAGCAGAAATCCTGATGGGGGTAAAAACAAGGGGTGAGCGCGTTGCCTTGGGGGTTCCTCCTGCCCAAGTCCAGCTCTAGGACTCACCGGGCATCTTGTGTCCATAAAAACCCCCAAAACACCAACATTAAGCCCAAATTCCCCTCCCAGGAGTTCCCCCTCTCTGCTCTCTGGGGTTAGGGGGTCCCCCCTGTCTGGTCTGATGGTACTTCTGCCTGCATTGGGGGTCCCCCTTCTCCGGGCTGTCGGGGGTCCCGCAGCTCCGGGGGGTTCCCACTCACCGGGGTCCCCTTGAGTGTTGCCAGGGGGGTCCCAGGGCTCACTTCTCCCCACTCTGCCTCCCGGGGCCGGCCGGCCCTCCTCTCTCGGCTCCCCCCCTCGCAAACCTCTTGGCGCTCTCGGCTCCCACCCCGCCTCAAGGCCCCCCCTCCTCTCCACACTCCAAGGCCTTCCCCCTCTCCGGGACCCCCGCTTAAGGGGCCCGGCGCTCCCTCTCTGCTCCCCCCCCTCCAGCATTCCGGGGGTCCCCCAGCTCCGGGATCGCCCCTCTCCGCTCTCCCCACTCCGCGGCTACCGGGGTTCCCCCCCGGCTCTCACGGGGGCCCCCAAACCGCTCTCGCCCCCCCCGCCATTGCCCAGCCACCGCCAGGACCTTTTGGCTGCTCTTCTTTGTGCTCCCGCTCGGCTCCTCCCTCGGCTGGGCCGCCGCTTTTGGCGGGTTTCCTCCTCCGGGATCCGCCCCCTGCAGCCCTTCCCCCCCTGGACCAGCCCCCTTGGGCCCCCCTTGGGCCCCCCTTGCCCAATAAGTCTGATTATACAGACAAGCAATTGGTTTTCATCCACAAAACCCAAATGTATAACCCAGCACCCTGGGGCATGAACAAAGTGGTTTTCCTTGGGCCCCCCCCGAGTCCAAAGTAAAGGGAGAGGGGAAAAAACCTGCTGGTGGGAGAGCTGTTGCAGTCTGGTCAGAAGTGGTGATTGCAGTCCAGTTGAGGGTGGTGGTCTCAGTCTGGTTGAGAGCGATGAGCTGCAGCCTTCTTCTGGATCCCACGAGTGGTGGAAAGGTTCCGAAAGTCCAGGTTTATATATTCTCCAGTTCAGGCAGGAATGGTCAGTGATTCCCTCAGAGTGGGGAATTCCATAAAAGGATGCTTAGTTCTTCCCTCAGAGTGGGGAATTCCATAAAAGGATATGAGGATTCTCAGAGCAGGGAATTCCATAAAAGGGTATGAGGACAGGGACACCCCCCCACCTCGCAGGCCCCCTCCCCCGACAACAGTTCCTGGGAAAATGGCATGGAAGGCCATAGAATACACACTTTTGGGCTACACCCATCCAGTGAGGAATCGGTCCCAGCTGTTCTAACTAGGACACTGTGTCCGTCATCGCTGCCATCATCATCATCATCGGCCTCGTGGCAGTCGGTGTCTGGAAGCTCCGATCCGGTAACTCCCGGGATGGGGGTCGGCAAGGGGCACGGATCCGCCCCGCAGCATTCCGGGGATCCTGTGCCACGGGTGCTGATCCCACTTTCTTGCCATAGGGAAGAGGGAGGGGAATGGATACGACCCCGTGCCCACCAGTGAGTCCCAGCAGCGTGTGTGGATCCAGATCCTCTGTGCAGGGATCCCAGGATGGATACCGGGATTCCAGAGGGGAATGGGGGCCTAATGGTTGGAGCGGGATTGGAAGGGGTTTGCAGCTCAGGGCAGGATTCCAGAGTGGGATCAGGTGGAATTGTGGACTGGGACCAGGGCTGGATTCTGCAGTGGGATTGGTGTGGGATGGATGGAGTGGGATTGGGTTGATGTCTGCAACCTATTCCCAGTGTCCCCATCCCTGTCCCCAATGTCCCCATCCCAGTCCCCCCTGTCCCCATTCCAAATCCTGGTGGCCCCAGCCTGTCCCCAGTGTACCCATCCCTGTCCCCAATGTCCCCATCCCAGTCTCCCCTGTCCCCATTCCCATTCCTGGTTCCCACAGAGGAACTGCCAGATGCTGGAGGAGGAGCCAGGATTTCTTGCCCTCTGACAGGTTCACACGGGAAAAAGCAGGAAGTTGATCCATCGGGAAGAGCCGCAGGGGGGCCGGGGTGGATGGGAGCAGCGGGATGAGCTCTGCCAGCAGCTCCTGCCTTTCCACAGGGAGAGGGAAGGGACGGATCCAGCTCCAGGATCACTCAGGCTGTGATTCCTGCTGGGATGAGAGTGGGGAAAGGAGTCACCATGTCCCTGTTCCCATCCCAGGGGATGGAGCCGGCTGTGGAGCCCAGGGAGAGTAGGAACTGCTCCGGAATCCCTCCTGATCCTGCTCTGTCCATCCCACCCCAATCCCACTTCATCCATCCCACCCCAATCCCACTCCAGAATCCAGCCCTGATCCCAATCCACAACTCTACCTGATCCCACTCTGGAATCCTGCCCTGAGCTGCAATCCCCTTCCAATCCCGTACCAGCCATTAGGCCCCCATTCCCCTCTGGAATCCCGGCATCCATCCTGGGATCCCTGCACAGAGGATCTGGATCCACACACGCTGCTGGGACTCACTGGTGGGCGCGGGGTCGTATCCATTCCCCTCCCTCTTCCCTATGGAAAGAAAGTGGGATCAGCACCCGTGGCACAGGATCCCCGGAATGCTGCCGGGCGGATCCGTGCCCCTTCCCGACCCCCATCCCGGGAGTTACCGGATCGGAGCTTCCAGACACCGACTGCCACGAGGTCGATGATGATGATGATGGCAGCGATGACGGACACAGTGTCCTAGTTAGAACAGCTGGGACCGATTCCTCACTGGATGGGTGTAGCCCAAAAGTGTGTATTCTATGGCCTTCCATGCCATTTTCCCAGGAACTGTTGTCGGGGGAGGGGGCCTGCGAGGTGGGGGGGTGTCCCTGTCCTCATACCCTTTTATGGAATTCCCTGCTCTGAGAATCCTCATATCCTTTTATGGAATTCCCCACTCTGAGGGAAGAACTAAGCATCCTTTTATGGAATTCCCCGCTCTCAGGGAACGACTGACCATTCCTGCCTGAACTGGAGAATATATAAACCTGGAGTTTCAGAACCTTTCCACCACTCGTGGGATCGAGAGGAAGGCTGCAGCTCACCACTCTCAACCAGACTGAGACCACCACCCTCAACTGGACTGCAATCACCACTTCTGACCAGACTGCAACAGCTCTCCCACCAGCAGGTTTTTTTCCCCTCTCCCTTTACTTTGGACTCGGGGGGGGGCCAAGGAAAACCACTTTGTTCATGCCCCAGGGTGCTGGGTTATACATTTGGGTTTTGTGGGTTAAAACCAATTGCTTGTCTCTATAATCAGACTTATTGGGCAAGGGGGGCCCAAGGGGGGCCCAAGGGGGGCCCAAGGGAGGCCCAAGGGGGCTGGTCCAGGGGGGGAAGGGCTGCAGGGGGCGGATCCCGGAGGAGGAAACCCGCCAAAAGCGGCGGCCCAGCCGAGGGAGGAGCCGAGCGGGAGCACAAAGAAGAGCAGCCAAAAGGTCCTGGCGGTCGCTGGGCAATGGCGGGGGGGGCGAGAGCGGTTTGGGGGCCCCCGTGAGAGCCGGGGGGGAACCCCGGTAGCCGCGGAGTGGGGAGAGCGGAGAGGGGCGATCCCGGAGCTGGGGGACCCCCGGAATGCTGGAGGGGGGGGAGCAGAGAGGGAGTGCCAGGCCCCTTAAGCGGGGGTCCCGGAGAGGGGGAAGGCCTTGGAGTGTGGAGAGGAGGGGGGGCCTTGAGGCGGGGTGGGAGCCGAGAGCGCCAAGAGGTTTGCGAGGATGGGAGCCGAGAGAGGAGGGCCGGCCGGCCCCGGGAGGCAGAGTGGGGAGAAGTGAGCCCTGGGACCCCCCTGGCAACACTAAAGGGGACCCCAATGAGTGGGAACCCCCCGGAGCCGCGGGACCCCCGGCAGCCCGGAGAAGGGGGACCCCCAATGCAGGCAGAAGTGCCATCAGGGCAGACAGTGGGGACCCCCCTAACCCCAGAGAGCAGAGAGAGGGAATTTTGGGAGGGGATCTTGGACTGAATGTTGGTGTTTTGGGGGGTTTTTATGGACACAAGTTGCCCGGTGAGTCCTAGAGCTGGACTTGGGCAGGAGGAACCCCCAAGGCAACGCGCTCACCCCTTGTTTTTACCCCCCCATCAGGATTTCTGCTTCCCAAAGCTTGGGCGGATGGAGGAGGAGGCTGCGAGGAAGAGGAAGATGCCTTGGGCCCCCCAGGCAGGTGAGGAGGAAGTCAGTGCCCCTTTGGGTGGGTCTTTTGTCTTTTGTGGCCGTCCTGCCAGGGCCGGAGTTGGGGGGATGTCCTTGGGCTTCCCTGTGGGCCGGAGGCAAATCCCCTGCGTGTCCTTGTTGGTTCCTGCCCCAGGCCCCGAGGTGAGGCCGGAGAGCGCGGAGGACAAATCCCCCCGGCAGAGCCTGGTGGGAGAGGCCGTTTTGAAGGGCTCCCCGGCGCAGGAAGGCAGCGGGGAGGAAAAGGGCCGGAGATGCCCCCGCAGGAGGGGCTCCAAAGCCAGCCCAGGGGGCTGTGAGGAGGAAAGAGCCAGCGTGTGCCGGGAAGGCGGCCGGAGCTTGAGGCGGAGCTGCGAGCTGGTGGTCCCTGAGCAGCCTCCCAGCAGGGAGAAACCCTTCAGCTGCTTGGAATGTGGGAAGAGCTTTAGGAAGAGAACCGACCTCCTGAGGCACCAGCACATCCACACAGGGGAACGGCCCTACACGTGTGGGGAATGCGGTAAGAGCTTCAATGCCCGTTCCACCCTTCGCACCCACCTTCGCATCCACAGTGGGGAACGGCCCTACACGTGTGGGGAATGTGGGAAGAGCTTCAAACGGACCTCCCACCTCCTCAACCACCAGCAAATCCACACTGGGGAACGGCCCTACACGTGTGGGGAATGTGGGAAAAGCTTCAGGCAGAGCTCCCACCTCCACAAGCACCGTCGCATCCACACTGGGGAACGGCCCTACACGTGTGAGGAGTGTGGGAAAAGCTTCAGTGACCGCTCCACCCTCCGCACCCACCTTCGCATCCACAGTGGGGAACGGCCCTACACGTGTGGGGAGTGTGGGAAGAGCTTCAAACAGAGCTCCCACCTGCTCGGACACCAGATGATCCATAGTGGGGAAAGGCCCTACATGTGTGAAGAGTGTGGGAAGAGCTTCACTCTCCTCTCCCACCTGCTCCGACACCAGATGATCCACACTGGGGAAAGGCCGTACATGTGTGAGGAATGTGGGATGAACTTCAATCAGAGCTCCATCCTGCTCCGACACCAGAGGATCCACAGTGGGGAAAGGCCCTACATGTGTGAGGAGTGTGGGAAGAGCTTCAAACGGAGCTCCAACCTGCTCCGACACCAGATGATCCACAGTGGGGAAGGCCCTACACGTGTGGGGAGTGTGGGAAGAGCTTCAGGGACAGCTCCAGCCTTTGCAAACACTGTTGCATCCCCACCAGGGAATGGCCCTACAAGTGCTTGGAATGTGGGAAGAGCTTCAGCACAAGCACCAAGCTGCTCAGCCACCAGCACATCCACACTGGGGAACAGCCCTACACGTGTAGGGAATGTGGGACAGCTCCACCCTCTACACCCACCTTCGCATCCACATCAGGGAGAGGCCTCACAAGTGTGGGGAGTGTGGGAAGAACTTCAGGCAGAGCTCTTCCTTGACCTCCCACCAACGGACCCACCGGTAAGAGAAGCCCCGAGTGCCCCGACTGCGGGAAGAGCTTCGGCCGCTGCTCCAACTCCATCAGCCATGGGAGGACCCGCGTTGGATGATCCACAGGGACCCCCGTTGGGCACAGACCTGGTGTGCTGGTTTAAAGGTAAACCAGCAGGGGAAATGACAGCGGTGACCCCTAGAATGGGATGGAACAGCTGGAAAGGGAATGAGAATGCCTGGAATGGGAATGGGGACATCAGGAATGGGATGGGGACAATAGCAATGGGATGGGAACACCAGGAATTGGAATGGGAACACCT